TGGACGCACGAAGTGTCCCCGGGTCTGCTGGCCCCTTGTCACCCTGCTTCCCAGGGAGTGGGCTAGGCGGTGGTGTTTGCAGACCACCGTCCTTGGGGACGTGGGCGGAGCCTGGCCAGGGTGAATCCAGGAGGGACATGCGTGTCAGAGGAAAGGCCCCCAAAAGTCTGCTCAGCCGTTCACCCAGGGGTGAAGGGGGGAGCCACTGAAGAAAGCAAATTGACGATTCTCCTGGGGCATCTGGGTGGCTCAGTCCGCTGACTGACTCTTGGTTTCTGTTCAAGTCATGATATCGCAGTTCGTGGGTTCGAGCCCAGCTTCGGGCTCTGCGCTGACAGCCTGCTTGGGATTCTCTCCCTCTCTCTCTGCCCCTATCCTGCTAGCACATTCTCTCTCTCTCTCTCTCTCTCTCCCTCTCTCTCTCTCTCTCTCTCAAAATAAATAAGTGAACTTAAAAAAAAAAATTCCTCTCCCGGCACGGCATTGAGTTCTTGGGCCTCAGCTTTCTTGTCTATAAAATGGGCGGCCCTCTGCGCCTCACAGAATGGCGGGAGGGTCGGCCGAGGTGGTGTATGCGAAGCACCGGGTAGGTGCGGTGCCTGTCGGCCGGTGGGTGAGCAGTAACCTTCTTACAGTCACGCTGGACTAGGGCGGGCGTCAGGCTCCCACGGGCAGACGGGAAACATTTGCTGTTGGGCCCCTTCTCTTTGTCTTTTTGGGTCAGTATCACCTGCTCCAGGGCTCAGTTTCCCCACCTGTAAAACGGGAAGCCTAGAGAGATTCTGCGAGGTCGCATCCGGCAGCTCACGACCGTCAGCAACTGTTCGTGTTCTTAGGAGGCTGGCCTGAGACGTCTGCCCCGTTCGGCTCTCTAAGCAGCTGCCGGGCCGCCATCCTGTGGGGCGTAAAGGTTGGTCTGCGGGGCACGGGAGTGCTCAGAGATGCTCTGGCCCCTTCCTGTTTCCTGTAGAGTCGCAGGGGATGCTACTGCCCCGAGAAATGCCCTTTAGGCTGAACAGTCCCTGGAGGGAATGGTGTGAGAGGGTCTCTGTCCCCGCTAAGCCATGCTGAGTGTTCCTCTGTGCCTGTGGCTGCAGCCACCTAACAGACCTGGTCCCCTCCCCCTGAGAGGATGATGGATCTTCTTCCCCGGGATGTGGGGAGGCCGGAGGTGGGTTCTGGGTGGGCTTCCTCCAGCATCTGCGCCGCACCTGCTACGGCCGGCCTCGCTCCTGTCTTCTTACCCTGACCTGGGGG